TCCAAAAATAGGGGACCCTAATATAAGACCCTAAATAATAGGATCCTTATTATAAGGACCCCCAAATAAGGTACCCTAATTTTCGGAAGCCCAAGCAGCCCCAAAGCCTGGAGCTCAAGACTTACAGGCTTTCCTGAAACCAAGGCACAGAGTTGAACAGCTGCGAATTGCTAGGGAACTACGTAGCTTAGTAGGGTTTAGGGTTTAGGGTTTAGGGTTAAGCCGTTTGAAAGCCGTCAGTGTGTATTTCAGAAATTGAAAACGCATGCTTGTTGAGGACGGTGAACTTGGCAGAACACTTTGCTCCGTGTAGCCTAGGCTTAGGCTTTGATGGGTATTCGGAACTTTGTATGCTATGGCTCGGGTGGGTTGCCTTCTTACAGGTACTGCCTACTTGTTGTTGTGTTGCACGGTCACTGCAGAGCAGGGCTTGCAGACTTGCAGTTGTTTTGGGCGTTCTGTTTCGGATCCCACAACACAGGACAACATGTGAGTCTTCAGGATCCTAGCCATGGCACATTGTAGGACTTATGGACTATAGGAGAATGAATCTTGTCCTTCCAAACAGCAAAAAGGATCCCACCCAAACCCTATTCCTTCTGGCATGGGTCGCACTGAAGTCAAAGGCCACGCCAGCTTCTGCGACGCTGTCGGCGCCGACTCCGCCGAGGAGTCGTCCAAATCTTTTCTATTTCGGTAGAGGTTTGCTTGACTTTGCCGAGGATAGACGGTCTAGACAGCATCATCAACAGCAGTGATCGAAACAGCCGAAGGACAACGACTTGTCGTGATGACTGCGTGTTCTCTGCTACAGTCATGCGCGTAAGATGTCTCTTTCTCAGTGCCATGAAACGAAGCCATCTTCACCATCATGACCACCATCGTCATCATCATCATCATCATCATCCTCACCACCATCCCCATCATGATCATCAGCCTCAGCATCATCCTCCTCCTCACCATCATCATCATCGTCATCATCATCATCATCACTGAAGCCAGCAGCTTTTGTCGCCAGCATCATTGCTGTGCAAATCACATAGCCCAGTTCTTGTTGAACTCAGCAACAATAAATGAAGCGCCTCGAAAACATCTGAGCGACGCTGAAGCTGAATTGATGGAGGTGGGTTCAAGTCGAGGCACTGTAACGCCTGGTAGGCCAAAGTTTATATGTTGAACTGGATCTGATTCACGAATATTGCAGCGGGCTTCAAGGACCAAGGACTATCATTGCCATGCTTTGCATCTCTTACGATGCCATCGGTACTTGCCGCCCCCTCTCGTTCGTATTCTCATCCACCAAACCCTAAACCCTAAACCCTAAACCCTAAACCCTAAACCCCAAACCCAAAACCCCAAACCCCAAACCCTAAACCCTAACCACACAGACCTAAACCCTAGCACCGTTTACCTAGGAGTGCCACTACAAACAGCGGCTGCAGGGGCCTTACGGCTGCTTGAAGGCCAAGGCTTGGAACTTAAGGTTTAGCGGTTTAGGGTTTAGGGTTTAGGGTTTAGGGTTTAGGTTAAGTCAGGTTGCGGGGCCGGCGTGGGGGTGTCCAGTGAGGTGGAGGAGCTTCGATTCGTCGTGGCGCTTTGCTTCGTTGTTGGACGACAAACTGCCGCCGCCAGGCCGCTGAGAGACGAATCAGAACGGCCTGGATCCGCCACAGGTTGACGACCTGCTGTCGTGGATGCTGGAGGCGGAGAGGGCTCGGTGTTCCTGCAGGAGCCGGAGGACTCTGCGTTAGAAGAGTTCCGCGCTCCGGAATTCGTTCGGCCTCAGCCCACAGTGGCTGGGTCCTCGAGGGGGCTGCAGACGGTTCGAACGAAGATGATCGTCACAAAACTACGGTTAATGTGGTTCCAAGTACATGTATACCTTCGATACAATCTCCACGTAAACCCCAAGCTCTAAATCCGGAGTTGTTCTTTCTGTAGCCTGTCCAATGCTTCGTTCAAGGTCCGTCGAGCTTTTAAGGTCTGTAGCGTGCTTTGCTTTCTTGGGAGAATGGTTTCTTTTGCAGGGGTCTCAATCTGAAGGGAGTATTGTTAAACTTTGGCTGAGATTTTGAGCACTGTCCTGCATCACGATAGGGTTGCTTTCATATCAAAGCCTTCGACACGCTGAATGCTTGTGACGGTGCTTGTGTTTCTGTCAGAACCTGATACAGATCTCAGGACATGATTTGTAGTCTTCAAACTCAACCACAGACCCTCTAAAGGTCATAATCTCACCCGTTTTCGCACCTATGTAATCAGTGGGCTTTTTGGGGAAGGATCGATCACTTGGAAGTCGGGCGTTCTTTCTTCTGCCTTGCTCCGAAACGGAGGTCGTCGCAACTATACTGATTCACATAGGCAGTGCGAGAGCTGCAAAGGGTTGGGACTTGTTTTGTTTTTCTAGGAACTTGGCCTGGTGATTGGAGGAGAGGGTAGACAAGCCACGGCTATGGTGAGCATCGTAAAAGGCTTCAAACCCTTTGCAAAGGGGAGTTTGAAGAACTAGAGATAGTCTCCCTTCATAACCCCGACACAATCACCATCACATACCCCAGGTCCTATTTCAATTGTAAGGGCCCCTACACTACATCTTAAATCGAGCTGCTTCGATCTGCCGAGGTGTTTCGCCCCGCTTTACGCCCGTCTCAATGGTGTCTCGAACACCTGGCATGCCTCAGGCTGGCGGCGCGTTTTCGCAGTATTCATAGTACCTGGCTAAAGTAAATAGGCCTTCAGAATTAGAATAGGGCTTGGGGCCTAGGGTCTATGAGCGTAAACTTTTACAGGAACGTTAGGGGAGTACTATTACTAGCTATTCAGACCTCTATGAAGAATCTTAGAGGAGTTCAGGCTACTAGGTCGTCCCAGCAACCTTTACGTTGTTCAACTACATGTGTTTCTAGGCCCTCAGCCTACATCCGCAAAGTCCTGAACCCAGAACTTTAAATGCAACTGTGTTTTCCATACACGGAAGCCTACCTTTCCGAACTTTGGATGGAACGCTAAGCCCTAAACCGGGTTCTTGATTTGGGGCCATGGACGTCATTGAGCAGCCTGCTGTTCATTTTCGGCGACATCTAAGAGTGGAACAAAAGCCGGGACTCGCGCAGAGCCACGGTTTAGGGTGCTATGTTAGGGTCCGAATTTTCGGAAACCCCATATAAAACCCTAAGCCGCAGAGCCTGCTAAAACAAAATGCTAAAGCCCTTTTCAACAAGATAAGAACTGAGTAGGTGAGTAGGTAACCTTTACCCTTTTTGGGGGTACTGTTATCCCTTTATAACCCCAAAATACGCCCAAGGGTTAACCTTTAGTTCCCTTAGGTATTGGAACCCTAAACCCTAAACCCTAAACCCTAAACCCTAAACCCTAAACCCTAAACCCTAAACCCTAAACCCTAAACCCTAAACCGAGTAGGAGAATGAACCCAATCAAGGAGTCCGGGGTTTCTTGAAGGAGCGCCTGGATTCTGAGGGTTTAGGGTTGAGGATTTTAGGGTTTAGGGTTTAGGGGTTTAGGGTTTAGGGTTTAGGGTTTAGGGGTCTAGGCGTTTAGGGTTTAGAGTTTAGGGTTTAGGGTTAAACCCTGAAATCCTACAACCATTGCCCTTAGCAGCCAGGCGATTACCGAGGCGCTTCTGTCGCCAAGGCCGTAAGGGGGCTATGCTGCTTTCTATTTCTGCCAAGGGGTTCCATGGCTGGCTCGGAATTTACGTTTGGGCATTTAGGGTTCTATAAATCCTGTATTACCTTAAGGACCCTAAACTAGAGGAATTATGGTATATTCCTTATTATGGGTAATGCAGGATTTGGGCACAGTGTTTTGTCGTCGTTTTTCGTTGACTTACACTTGGTTTGTCCAGTACTGGTACGATTGTCGTTTGTATTTGCCTTAAACCCTAAACACTAAGCCCTATGATCACGTTGCCAGTCCCCCAAATTGCCACAAGCTAGGTTACCACGGCCTTCCTGCAGCCCTGCTTCGCAGTTGCCTGTTTGGCTTGCGGTTGTGAGGTTTTACGGTTGATGATATAAATCCTGCATTACCCATAATAAGGAATATACCATAGTTCCTATAGTTTAGGGTCCTTAAGGTAATACAGGATTCATATCATCAACAGTAGGGATGCGAAAACTGTTGTTGCTTGTGGCACTGCTACCGCATGGTTATACCACAGAACCCTTTTCCAATCTGCCATCACTGAAGCTCCTTTGTTCGGTAATCTCGGACTCCTTTAGCACGTTTGTAGGTTGCTCTAAAGCTGAAAGCCCTAAATCCTAAAGCCGAAAACCTTGAAATCAGTGCTGCAAGAAGCCTCAGCGCACGAGAAGCTTGTC